CCCCCCACCCCTTCCCCGAACTCCACACTACTTACGCATTATTGTGTATTAGATATCTCTCCCGAACAAATTTTTATCCTCTCTGCTCTATCCTTTAAAGGCAGATTTTTGGTCTTTTTTAACTTTACCATTCGGAACAATTCTTCCCTCTTACCAATCTCACTGATCTACGATTTTGTTTTGTTTGTTTGTTTTTTTAATGGCTGAGCCAGTGCCTGTTGCATGACCTATTTTTTTTCTCCGGCGGGTAGAAATTCACCTACCCCAGCCCTCTCCCCTTTCCCCTCCTTCCCCATTTCCCCTTCATCAAGTCCCGCCTTTGATACTGAAAATAGAATCATCGGACCTCTTTTTCGACCAATCAAATCGCCTTATTCTAGTACGGCCTCCAACCTGACCTCATAACGCAGGTCACATGATCGTCTGATCGGCTGACTGTCGAACGGCGAACGCCCGACACCGGGGGATTTCTGTTGAGGCTGGGAGAGCCGTATCACCTTATCCTTATATTATCGATATCTCTCAATATATAAACGCCAGTTTTGGATTGTGTACTCAGTTGTTAAAGAGTCAAGGTTTGTATAAATCAATTTATGTGCGTGGTTTCTTTGCCCAGCATAGTTTTGTAATTCAATCGAGATGATGAAGGGCTTAGATTACTTAGGAAAAAGAAAGTCTAGGAAAAAAACCCACTTTACACACTCTTCTCAGAGGAAGTGACCTTTGGACTCTGTTGTGGCATGAAGTAATGATTCCAATTTCAGGATGGTTAGAACTAAGGGCCTAGACTGAGGTTGTGGTTGTGTTGTGACTTGACTTCTTGTGACAACAATTGGTGAAGCTGTTTGCTGTTTGAGGTAGATCTAGATTGATGAAACGTGATGTTATTATGGCTTACAAAAGAACTGTTTCCTACATCAGAGAAACATTTGATAGTTTTATGACTTGTCACGTTTGTTCTGTTGTCAAAGAAGAAAGACTTTCTGCCACATGATGTTAGAGAGTCTTAGACTCACTACTCAGTCTCAGTCTAGAATCTAGAATGTAATCTAGATCTAGATCTAGATCTAGAATCTAGATTCTAGATTCTAGAGCTAGAGAATCTTGATTCTAGGATATTTTAACCGTCAGTCGCCGGGTTTTGTCTCCGGATCTTATTATCCTGTCATTTTTTCATCATGATTCTCATTTCCAGTGCCAGTGCTGAGCTTGAATCGTCTTCTGGACCTGAAAATGAATAGGCCTAGATCTAGAAGGCCAATCTCTAGACTGGCTAAAGATTAGATCGGTGATTTACTTTACATTTCTGTTCTTCTGGCTCTGGTTTCATTCTAAAACAAGAATCTGAACTAAATTCAATTTTACTTTCACTCCCAGCCCAGGCATTGTTCTGCAGTATTCTGGCCTCATTTTTATCTACAAAAGCAGAGGTGTCTATTCTCCGGCGTCGCACTGGTCAATAGATGATTAGATAGATCGCTATTCTCTTGCTTCACACACAGTTGCATTATATCTTCTCCACAGCTTTCCATCTCCCCTGTCGGCACGTCCGTTATGGCTTTACACAAACCATGATCGCTGATGTCTGTTGCAGATCTGACACTGGATGGTGATGGTTCTAGATCTAGTCATAAAACCTGGGCCTGGTCTCATAAATTCGATAAAATTTAGGGAATAATCTTCTTTAAAACAGATTGTAATGAAGTCTTGAAACGAGTGGTTGGCAGATGCTCTGGTGTGGTTTGCTCCTTCTTTCCTATCAAACTTATCATGTATATATATATTTTCCTTAAAAATCTCTCCTTTTTATTTGTGTTTATTACTCTCTTGTAACACCTCTAATCTTCGACACTATGACCTAGATCTATTTGTGTTGCAAGTTATGTAAAACTCTCACCAAACTCAAAAACTAAAGCCTCGAGTTTTTGGTTGGTAAATCTAAAATTGTTTACTTTTTATCGTTTCAGGAAGCCCCTACAATGCTCTCCCTTTCACACTGATCAGAGAAATCATTGGGAGGAGACTGACATTCACTAAGCTGCATAATTTCAGAAATGTCGATGAGCTTTGGCTTTGTTGGCAAAGTATTTCAAGGTTTAAAAGGACTATACAATGGAATTAATCCAGCCACCCTGACGGGAGCAATCGATGTCGTGATTATTCAACAAGAAGATGGGACATTTTTGTCATCACCATTTCATGTCCGCTTTGGAAAACTTGGAGTTTTACGCTCCAGGGAAAAAGTGGTATGTCCTTTAAATAGTCAGTATTTAGTAATTTAGTACTATATTTATTTTGTTAATTTAATTAGAACTAAAATGGCTTGCAATTTCCATCATTTGGCCTGTAATGTGAGTGGCTATCATATAAGTTGTGTAAAAATGCCATTCTACTGCTCAGTGTCGATGTGCTTGCTTAAAGTTAAACTGACGCACCATGGCTTTCCTCGGACAATCTTATGGTCAGGTCAAGTGTTATAGAATGGTGCAAATGTTACAAAATATTTCTAATCTATAAGAAAGGGTATATGATCTTGGTGTGCATCAGGAAAAAGCATTAAATTGGAAAGTATATTTTTATGCTTATAAATTGATTCATCACATATTAGTTGATATATATGTAAATATAATATAATATCATTTTTTTTACTTTCATAAAATGTATTGCCCTTCATCCTCAGGTGGACATTGAAATCAATGGGGAATCGACTGATTTGCAGATGAAACTTGGAGAGGCAGGAGAAGCATTCTTTGTCCAAGAAATAGAATCTGAAGAAGAGGTATGTTCATATTTCTTTGTTTTTTAAAATCTAGCTCTGTTTGTATCTTACTGTTTTGATTGTTTTATATTCAGGGGTATATATATATGAGAAATTTGATGGCCAAAGAGGGAAAAACCATCATATGTTGAAAGGGATGTCATTACCTTTGAAGTCCCTCAAGCTGTTTTGTGTTTTGATACAAAATTTATAACTCATTGTTTGTATTTTACCACTTTGATATTGTTGCAGTTACCACTTTGATATTGTTGTTGTCATATTTCGTATACATGAGAAATTTGATGGCCCCTGGGGATTTCTCACCTTCATATATTGAAAGTGATATTATTACCCTTTTAGTCTCCCAAGTTTTTTAAATACAAACTTACCTTCATATATTGAAAGTGATATTATTACCCTTTTAGTCTCCCAAGTTTTTTAAATACAAACTTATAACTGAAATGGAAATTTACTATTTCGATATCTGGTGATTTAATAGAGAGCCTTGATGCAGATGAGGTAACAGTGTTTTCACTTTACTCCCTCTCAGGATGTCCCTGCCTACCTGGCCACGTCGCCGTTGCCCTCCGCCATGCACCTCATGGAAAAGGGCATGGCGGAGCTCCATCAGCAGACTGACTCTTCCGAGGCTGTCTCTGGTACTGGCAGAGTGGCTCCCTCAGAGTCGTTGCTCAAGGTGAAAGACCCCCGCAGCGACAGCTCGTGGGATGAAGCCAAAGCCAGCGGGAGACCCCGTAGGAAAGTCCTTAAGAAGAAAAAGCAGAAGGTGGCCCCTGGAAGGGGAAGCATCCGCTCTGTGTCAATGCCGGAAAATGTGGCGGAGCAGGAAGCAATGTTTGAGATGGAAGTGACGAATTCGTCGGATGATGAGGAAGTGTCCCAGCACATGTTTGTCAGTCTGAGAAGCACGAGCTCACCCCAGATCAAGGACATGGGAAACGTGCAGGGTACTACCAGCCATCGCAGAATGAGTTCACTGGGCAACACTTCATTCGTCACCCCGTTTAGCGATCCTGAGACTTCTCCTATTGGCAGGTAATTATCCATCACATAGCCAGTTTTTAAACAGAGATGAAAAGTGAGTTGAAACACATAGAAGTACGTTACAAAAAGATTTCCGTATCCTGCCCATTCTGCAATGTGTGTGTTAGACTACATTTTCATTTATTCTAGCCTTAGAGGACACATAGCTATTTTGGTAAGTCTTCTGATTTGGACAACTATTAACGTTTCTGAACCTAAGTTAGTTTGAGTTTTCATAGCTGTCTAGCCCTCCTAAAAAGTAAACATAACATAATGCTGTAAGGCATGGATCCTACAAGTTGTCAGTCAGTAGCATTATAATGTTATCTACACACAGGTCACAACTGTTTAGTTCTGTTTAGTGCGTCATTGTACCCTGTCCATATACTTAATCTTGTGTGTATTTTTCCCCCTAGCCCTGTTGGCTCTAACATGTGTGTTTATTTCCCCATTCACAGCCCGGTCGGCTCAAGGCCTTCCACCCCCAAGAGTGACACAGAGGTAGACAAGCAGCACACAGAGGAAAATCAGACCTCAGTGCTGATGGAAAACAGTGCCACCTGGCAGTGGGGACAGTTCCCCAAGAACTTGGAGGCCGTCACCGCTTGTGCTGAAAGTGGGGAGCCACTTAGAAAGGCTGGATTAGAAGATGCTGGTGAGTTGGACGTTTATTGACAAAAGCGTGCTATTATAACAACAGTTATTTTTGGAATAGGTGTTGATGAATATATTTAGACTTGTGATTTTGAATTGGCTTTAAGTTAATGTTTCTACTTCAAGGGCCTTCCTATTTGCCGGTTTTTTTCCTCTCTGTGATGGTCTTGAAAGTGCCTGCTTATGGGTTGAGAAGACTATTCTACTTTTATGTTTTATTCTTAAGATATTTTAAACTCTATCTGGCTTCCGGTTGTGGTAGGGATGTGAAACGTTTACCAGTTCCATTGCCTTTTTTGTTGCATTAACTGTAAATCAAAGTGCAAGAAGTTTATGACTGCAGAGATGTTGTGTATTTTGTTCAAGCTATTGCCTTTTTTGTTTTAGTCGTTTCGAATATCTGGATTAGTGGCTTCTGAATTTTTAATTTAAAAGGGAGGAAAATACTTCTGATTACGTTATATGTTTTCATTTTGCAAATCCTCATCAGCTCAAGCCTCTGGTGGTTTCATGTCCATGTGGACTGCCAAGCCAAAATCGGTCCCTGAGAAGAAAAGCCAGGCTCCGGAGGGTATCTATCTAGATGATCTTGCCAGCATGGATGATCCAGAGATGGCGAGGATCTATCTAGGCAGGCCCAGGTGAGGGTTGTTAGTTTTGTGTAATAGTTTGAGTCTAGGAGAGACCTTATATTTTTATGGTTGATTTCTTGTGTCTATGTAAGGCTTTCTGGGTTATACTTGGCTTTGTGTGACCGTCTTTGTGTTTAAGAAAAAAAAAGCTGAGAAGTTGTCCAGTGATTTTGTAATTGCCAGGTTGTTATTTACTGTGGGCTTTTTAAGTACCAGCCATTTCTGTGAATAGCTGGACTTTAGCACATCCTATTTTTTTCGTTTACATCCATTGTGTTCTTTCGGTCGGTCTCTTACTTTTTTCATGATTTCATGCTGGAATTGACCATTTTTGTGTGACCTTGCTTCTTTTTGCTCAAACCACTCTGCACTTGATTTTACTTTCAGAGAGAAGGAGGATGACACAGAATCTGGCCGTGGTCAGTCCTTGCCCCAGTCCCCAAACTCTGTGGAGGGAGCTATAGGAGGGCCAGTCAGTTTCACCATGTCCGAAGTGAGGCACCTGGGTCCGGTCTCCCTCTCTTTGTGCGGTGGCCTCAACGACCAAGAGGGGATCTCGCTGGACAAGTTTATGCAGAAAGTTGTCACGTTTGAGGACCTGGCTGACCATCCCAACATCACCCTCAACCCAGACCTGGTGGTGAAAATTCACGACAAGTGAGTCTCATAAAAACAGGAATGAAGAAAAGATTACCTCTTTGTTCTTCCCTTGCACTAAGAGTATGAGAGAATTCATACACAAGTTTTATTTGAGAAGACAAATGTGAACTTATTGTTCTGGACTACATGTGCTAATTTGGTAGATAATTATACTGGCTACTTTGGTTGGTGGGGGGCTGCCTGCTAGGGGCTGCTTAATGCTCTTTTCAGGTACAAAACCATTCTTTAAACTTTGATAAGGAACTCTGAAAGAGAACATTTGACGTTCAGTAATTTGTAAATATATATGCCTTTTATAATGTAAGTGTATCTTTTATACTGTTTGATGAATTAACAGTTTACTGACTGTAATTGCTTTGTCCATGCAGGTATTACAATTGGTCTACAGCAGGACCCATGGTGCTTTCCCAAATCGTCTTCCATAAACAGTTGCCAGAGGTAAGTTCCTTCATGCTACATTTTATATAATCAGTGAGCTCTATGTAACTGTCCATCCTTCCTTCCGTACCCATTGTCTTGTCCTCTGTATGTTCAATTGAAGTTCAAATTGCTGAAAGTGAGGTTGGAGAACTTCCTCGAAAAGGATTCATTTTTCCTGATTGATGCAATTTGCATGGAATGAGAGGTTTTTGCCTTTTCATCATTGTAATGCATGTTGATTTGGCAATTTTATTTAAAGCTATTTGTCATGAAATTTCTTTTAGTGGTCAGTTTCTTATGGTTTGGGCCTAGTGTTGTAGAATATCTTAAAAACACTTTTGCCTCGTAGTGACTGAATGTATGAAGTGGCGGTTTGTGAGGTGTTGTCACTTGTTGTGCTTGTTTTAGCATGAGGAAACATGATGGATGTGATTTTTGTATGTCGTGTGTCAAGTGTTACAATAGCTTTGCTAGTTTTCTGTGTCGATGGAAGTTGTGGAGAGTCAGGTCAAAAGACATGTTTGGGAACATCATTTATCTGAATGGTTGCAATGAAATTGAAGTATGCTCCGTAAGAAAACAATTGTGAGGAGATTTGTAGAACTATTTTCCATCCTCTTTTTGTGCAGCCCACCAAGGTAAGTCCTCATATGATGCGACTTTCCATTGGCTACTGCTTACTTAACCAAAACACCCTGGCATAGTCTAGGTTCCCATGATGAGTAAAGTTTAAAACACAACAGCCCTGAAAAGCTTTGAAGAAACCTGAAGTCTTTTGACTGAACTCCTATCGGCCAGAATGACACGTTCCGTGTCATTTCAGTTTACTCCCTTCCGTCAGAATGGCACGGAACATGATGCTTTCACATCCCCTAATTGAATGCACATTTCCATCCTGTCCTCCAAATCCATGTTAATAATGTTGGTTAAGTTAAAAACAGACGTGATACTTCTTTGTATCTTTATGAGAATTCGAAGCTTGAAAGCGTATATTTGGAATTACCAGGCGTTGTATCACCGACAATTTGGAATCTGAAATCTGAGGTACTTCCCAAATTAATATATTTAATCAAATCCTTCTATGTTACACCTTTTTTTCTGAATCCAATCTCAATATCCCCTCTCTAGATTTTGCTAATAGTTATTTATTTGCATGGTTAACGATAAAAGATTTAAAATTGTCGGTGAATGACAGAACAGATTAAATTCTGACTGTTCGGGAAAACCCCTAAAACTAATTCTGGCTGATAAGAGTATTAAGAACAAAGGGGAAGGGGAAGGCTAGAAATAATCTGATTTAAGTTTTACTCTTTCATTACTTTCTAACAAACAAAAGGAAGAATCTCTTCCTTGAGACTGAAGTTTGAGAAGGGGATACAATCAAAATATTTTAATTGGATAACCTCTCCTTCTACGGAATGTGTGAAAATAAGATACTGAACTGAGAGGAAGAACTCTGCAAAGCAGAGTAGAATGAATACCGCATCTCTTCCATGGGTCAACGATTTTGGAGAACGACCAGCAGAAAACAATGTCCCCAATTGCCCTGTGTCCATTCGGCTGAATTCTCTCAAGTAGCTTAGTATGTGTGGAGTGACAGCACCCTGAGCTTATGCTGTCCCTTTTGTGGCACCTTTTTTTTTTCTTCTATAATCTCCCAAGCCCAAGTATTTGTTTGCATGAAATTTGACATTTAAGTTTAAGCTCCTACTCTGGAAATAACAATTTATATCGCAATGTACAGCTTTAACTTATCCCTGCGAGGAAACTTGAGGTACTTTAGAAAGTACAGTACAAATAATGTACAGCTTTGACTTATCATCCTTGGGGGGAAAAGTTGGGTTACAATAGAAAAACCAGTACAGTGCACAAACGCAAAATAGTGGGGGGGGGGGGGGGGGGCAACATCAGCATTTGATAATATACAAAGTAACACAAATGAAGACAATAGTATTACAAAAACATGCCTCTACTGGTTGCCATAGCCCAATGCACTGTGCTCTTTTGCAGCTGGGGGAACTGAGAAAAGTAGGACTTTTCCTAAAAATAGACTTACATTTCCCACACTATTATTAGGAGTTGATCTCACCTCTCTTATGATAAAAATAAGAGTGGTCATGTTTGGCAGCTTCAATGATGGTTGATAATGTGAAAAGATAATGACTAAATCTACTAGTGAAATGGTCAAGCTATGGCAAAAACAGCAAAATGACAACATAGGACCATAAAAAGCTGCCAGTGATTTTTGGGGAACCAGTGATGAACCCTTGATACTATGCTTGATTGTAAATATTATTTTATGCAACCGTGTGTCTTGTTGTGAAATTCCTTGTGTATCATTCTTTGCCTTCCCTGTGTGTTGTTTGTCATTTTATTTTTTCATTGTTTGCTTAGGGACTTGTATGCTGTTCATTGTGTTGAGCAATCAATTGCATACCAGGAATTCAATGCTGAAAATTCCCTTTGTTTTCCTTTCCCAAGTCTGGTTGCAAATCAACGAGAATCGGAGAAACATTTTTGTCCTGTGGCACACACCATTTTGGCTTGAGTTGATTTTGTTGGGCGGATAAAATATCTAGTCAATTATTTTTTTATTTCATTTTTCACATGGTCTAACGCTTGTTTTCCCTCTCAGTTTATGTATTGCGTTTCTTGTCTGCCTTAGAAATACTGGATCCCATTCTCCTTGTGTTCCTCGGTACTTTTCTTTTTTTTTATGTAGAAAAAATATATATATGTTTTTAAAATAAATTTTTGTCTTAATTGCAAATTATAGAACCCTCACACTCGTCTCCCAGATGGTGTGACTTAGTATGTAAACAGTTCTCATCCAGAGAGCTTTTATGAAGCTCACTCATATTCAGTTCTTGCTTGCCGTCTTTTTATAGCAAATGATCCGCAAAGTAATTGTGTGAATGGTGTTTCACATTGTAGTACTCACCCAGGTGTGTGTTTAAAATGTTAATCCAAACTGAGGTGCAGATTTCTTCAAGGTAGCCTATATTGAAGTTATTTCTGATCTATCTGTTTAAGGTGCTCCAATTCTTGACTGTTCCGACAACAATTTTTGGACATCTCAATGGACATTAGCATATTACAGACGCTTTACCTCTTTCTTTCATCAATGCCTCTTGTCTAATTAGTTTTGGAAACGCTACAAGGACTGGATGTTTGGCACACTTAGACAGATTACTGAGTATGAACTCTTGCATTTTTATGATGTGCGTTCTGTTTCAAGAATATTGTGATCTTTTTGGAGTGAAACAAACACTTCATGAAGCTATGTTTTCATATTCTTTTCCTCCCTTTCCCTGCGCAATATTGCCGTGGTTCTGTTGATGTGCTCTGATATTCTTCTCTTATTTGAAAATCCCTCTTTTGTTTGTCTATCTTAACTTACATTTCCCTTGCACTTAACAACAGTTAATGCGTCAATGTGCTTCTCTTTACTCAAACTTTAAAAATTCAAGTCCCGTGTTTGTTTGTTTTTTCAACAGCCGGCTGTGAAAGGCCTGGAAAAGGAGCACATGCCAAAGAAAGAGAAGAAAAAGAAAAAGAGCTCCTGGTTCTCCTGGGGCCGGTCGGCAGAGACGGAGGCTGATATAGAGACTGGCCTGCCCACGACTGATTCCAGTGAGGGCTTGAACTCTGTCACGGGCTCTGCTTCCACTTCTACTCTCACAGAGTCCAGTCAGATGGTCAGTATTTGCTGTCAACCGTAAACACTGTTGATTGTAACATGTACATGTGTTAACAAATTGTCTGTGTGAGATTCATTCAAAACCCAACGCACAATATGGCTCACTGAAGTTGATACCAATTCTGAATTTTTCAGGTCTTTTCAGAGGTCTCTTTGCAAAGGTTAAATCTTATTGATTTTTTAAGTGATATATTGGGCCTTGGATTAAAAAAAAAATCGATTTGGAGGGGGGGGGGGCATTTCGGATTAAATATTTTACCCCTTTCTGAGCTAACAACAAGAACTGTGAATCTGACTGTAGTGGTCAGATGTTGTCGTATTGACAGATGTGCCGACTATTCCAGATAAATCACTCAGTTAATAGGTCTTACTGATTGTGTGGCATAGAAAGATTTGTCTGCATTGAGCTCACAGATCTTATTATGTTTTACAGAAAGATCTGTCTGCGTCGATGTCTCCCCCTGACAGTCCTGGCCATAGTGCCTCAGATAGCCAGAGAAAGCACAGGACCTCTGAGACCAGGTAAATGGAGGGTCTGTGTGGATGTGTTTAGTGTGTGTGTGTGTATATGAATGTGTATGTGTATGAGACCGGGTAAATGGAGGGTCTGTGTGGATGTGTTTAAGTGTGTGTGTGTATGAATGTGTGTGTGTATGAGACCAGGTGAGTGGAGGGTCTGTGTGGATGTGTTTAAGTGTGTGTGTGTATGAATGTGTGTGTGTATGAGACCAGGTAAGTGGAGGGTCTGTGTGGATGTGTTTAAGTGTGTGTGTGTGTATGAGACCAGGTAAATGGAGGGTCTGTGTGGATGTGGATGTCTTGAGAACCAAGTGAAGGAAGAGCTTGGAGTTACTTACTTCAGTTTGAATCTTCAACAAATCTTGTCTTTTATCAGTCGTGGTGGTCAGGAACAGTTATGTTTTTGATTACATCTATGAAATTGTATGTGTAAAAATGTTTAAACTATACATTGCTTCTCGTAAATATACTTCTGGAACAGATCAGAGGAAAATTAAGAAGTCATGATGAAAGGTGTTACAGAAGACATCTCAGTTCCTGTTTATATGTGTGTGCTATGAGCGGATGGTTTAAAATGATGAACATGAAAACAATTTGATAAATAAAAGAGAAAAGTGTCTTTCTGAATTCCTTCAAAATCATTTCGACACCCATTGTCATTTTGTTTTGCTTTTCCTGCTAGATTGCTTTCGGAGGAAAACACGTCGACAGAGACGGACACAGATGCTTCCGAGAAGGAGCCCTCTAAGTCGCCGTCGCCTCCAACTGTGAGCTCCGACCTGAGCCAGCACACAGAGGAAGTGGAGATCATCCGCCGCCATCGTTCATCCACCTCAGACTCCTTCATTGAGAAGACCAAGAGAGTCAAGTTCATCAAGACGCTGAGATTGTCTTCTGAGCAAGTTGTAAGTTTTGTTTTTCTACCTTTTCAGCTGTATTAGTTTTTTAAAGTTAAGTAGAACTTCTTGAAAAGGATAGAACAGTATTTTCACCAAAGTATTACATCTCACAATTTTTATTTGAGGGGAAGTTAGTGCGATTAATTTGAGAAATATAGCCGCCAAGTTTTGTTGAAAAGAAAAGCCATAAAACAAGTTCAGTGTTTCAGGTGGTTCAAATAAGTTTTTGAAGTGCTTCACTGGCCATGAATGTAAAAAAATATGTCTGTGTTACAATTTGATTTTTATATCCTTATGTGATTCCCAAAAACTCGTGTGCCCCCCCCTAGAAAATGTTCTACATGTGTCTGAAATGTTTTGTAGAAAAAGTAGAAGTGAAAAGAGGTAGAGGTAGGCTGCAGGATTTTTTTTGAGGAAAGGAGCAGACAAATGAGTGGTGGTGAACCATGATTGCTGATGTCTGTTACAGATGTAGCATTTTTAGATTAATTGTTGCCTTGTAGGTTCTGATAGTTTTCAACAAGTTTTTTCCCCTTGCTAAATTTGGCTCTTGAATTATCCAGGGCAAGATGAACCTGAAGAGTGGACGTAATGAGGTGATCTTCTCAGTGACCACACAGTATCAGGGCACCACTCGCTGCGTTTCGCACGTCTACCTTTGGCACTACAGCGACAAGATCGTCATCTCAGATATTGATGGAACCATCACAAAGTGAGTAGAGCATTAAATGGATTGTTAAATGTTTGCTGCTTATATAATTGTGAGAAGGGTCTGTTTATAAGTGTGTGCACAACATAGCTTTGTACAAATTCATAAGGGTCACATTTTTTTTTCTTCTCCTATTATGGGAGCGTTGAAATTTTTCTTTTTCTAGTGCAGTCTTTTTTTATTTTGGATGTCTGTTTTGGGTGTCACATATTGAAATGGCTGTAGTTGAGATCCCATCGCTTTCCAGTTCACAAATAGTGAACTAGACTACTTGTATAACTTTATTGTTTAATATAGTTTGTAAAGGATGCTACAAAATGAATACATACGTAATACAAGTAACAATTTTAATGTTTTGCTTCCAGGTCGGATGCTCTTGGCCACATCATGCCCATCCTGGGCCGTGACTGGTCCCAGTCTGGGGTGACTGAGCTCTTCACCCGCATCAACAACAACGGCTACAAGCTAATCTACCTGTCGGCGCGCGCCATTGGCCAGAGTCGCAGCACCAAGGACATGCTGAGGAACATCAAACAAGGAAATCTGGTGCTGCCCGAGGGACCAATCTTCCTGAACCCCACCTCACTGTTCAGCGCTTTCCACCGGTCAGTTGCTGTCTCATCAGTATTGTAGTTTTTGTCCAGCCCCCCCCCCCCCCCCCTCCTTCCAAATTGTTTATCAAGGGGTTTTTCTGAAGGCATGTCTCATCAATATTTATATCGGTGGTTGGAGGGGGCCACTGGTAGGTCCCTCTGTTGTTTCTTCCAGTCTCACTCTTTTCCTGTAGTAAATGGCCATTATCTCTACTAAAAATGAGTCAATATCTAACTATTGAGCATGCACGCTGCGAAATACACGCAAAACGAAGATTGTCAGGTCCTCAAATTTTTCTTATACGTGTATATTTTTTTGTTATTCAAAAGATGTGCATAGTGAAATATGTACATAATGAAAAGATTTCCGTGTCCCACCATTTCGTTATGTGTGTGTTAGTCTGTGCATAGTTGTAGAATCTGTGGGAGCTTTTGTTGTGTTGTTAACCTCTCCTTGCGTTTACTTTGTTGAAGGAATAGTCTGTAGTCTTTTACCGCTTGTGTTTTCATTATTTCTCTTACCATGTCCTGACTTTATAAAGAAAAAGACATTGTTAAAATTTTGAGAGAATGACACTGATTTTACTAATCTGGATCAAGTATATAGACGCGACTGTTTCATACATAACTGTTTTTTTTACTGTTTCTGCTTTCACAGAGAGGTGATTTTGAAGAATCCAGAGGAGTTAGACCCTGTTTCAGACATAACTGTTTTCTTACTGTTTCTGCTTTCACAGAGAGGTGATTTTGAAGAATCCAGAGGAGTTCAAGATCAGTTGCTTGAAAGACATTGCAGCATTATTCCCATCTTCACCTTTCTATGCTGGATTCGGAAACAAAGTTAATGTAAGTAAAGTGAAGTCTGGTGTGAAATCTTTTCTTTAGGCAAGCACTTCAAGCATGTTACAGATGGGGATCTTTTATTCTTCTGGATCAATAGATTGATTACTGCTTTTGAGTTCTACTTCTGGCTACTCTTGCTGGCCTCTTTCTTGTCTCTGTAATGCTTGGTTTAATGGAGGCTACTGGTAGGTTGTTTTTTTCTCTATATATCCCTATATACTTTTTTTTCTTTTGGTGCACTTGCGGGTGGTTGAAGGACACCACACTGGAGGTCATACTCCTTTATCATTATTATTTTTTTATACCTTTCTTTTCCCAGCTCTGAATGATTGTTAGTGTGTTGAAGTGCTCTCTATATTCTCACAAAGAACAAATTTGGGGTGGATGGTTTGTAGGTGCTTGTGTGGTATGTTCCTTCTCTCCTGTCAAACATCTATCGTCCTTATCTCTCCTCCTTCTTTTCTTTCTACTCTAGTAACACTATATTCTTCGGCTCTTGTATGACCTATTTATTTTACTAGTGCCATAAAACTAAGAAACTTTTCTGTTGTTTTTTTACAACGCCCTGGACTTCTCTCATTGGTATGTTATTTATTTTTCTCCATGCAGGATGCAATTGCATACAGAGAACTCAGCATCCCCAACTTTCGGATCTTCACCATCAACCCCCAGGGCCAGCTTAGACACGACCTGTCTCTCACTTTCCTCTCATCGTAAGTTTTACCTTTACAAATAGTTTAAGCATATGCTGTATACACCTGTCAAGTTATTCTTAATTGTAATAGCTGTTTGAATGTAATGAGTATTAAGCATTTTTTAGTAAATGGAAATACGCAGCATAAATGCTATGTAACATTATCATTTTTGCCCAGTGTTTGACGTCAGTCTTTTTTTTAGAACTTTAGAAAAAATTATGCTGTAAAAAATACAACCCATTAAATTTTCCTAAAAGTTCAGGAACAAAGGTTTCTGGGGCTGTTTTAAACTGGTTTCTTAAACTGTATTAGTGGGTGTAGTCTCTTCACAAACAATAGGAGTATGTCAACTGTATGAGTGAACTTAATCTTTTCACAAACTGACTTTCAATTTCAACGTTTCGTTCTATGACATGGGAAGTTTCTTCAGTCTTTTCTTTTTGAATACTTATAGTATAATTGTGCTGAAAGGCAAATTTTGTGAAAATTTGTTCTTGTCACTCAGTTAACACTTGAGAACAGATATGATATCAATTTCTAAAACAATCTGCTCACACTACTCTTTTTCATCTCTTCTCTTCTGTTGTTTTTATCTTTCAAACTTACCAACGGTTTAGCCAGGTATTCATCTTATCCTTGTCTCCCACCATTTTTTCAGCTATTCTGGCATGTCAGACATCGTGGACCACTTCTTTCCGAGCCTTGACCAAGTGGACCGGGGCACCTCCCTGGAGTACAACCCGGTCAACTACTGGAGGGATCCAATCCCCTGCCTCACAGATGATGAGCTGGCCCTCATCTCGGAGACTCAGCAAGAGAAAGAGAAGAAATGACTAACCGATGAGGAGCCGGTGCCTGACAGGGCGATAGCCGAGCAGGATGACTGCTTGCCACAGGGGGAAGGGTACGAAGGGTTGGGGTCTGAGGACTTTTGGGATAGGTGGAAATCAGAAGAGCAGAGCCAGGGGGGAGGAAATTTCAGCAGGAAATATATCGTTAGTACAGATAGAGAAGAATGTATCAGTGGTACAGTGAGAGAAGAATGTATTAGTGGTGTGGATAGTGGGGAATGTATCAGTGGTGCTGATAGTGGGAAATGTGTAGATGGTACAGATAGAAGCGCTGTATCTGAGGTGTTGCTGGACCAGACTGATGGTGTTGGGAATGTGCTCAAGAAAAACAGTCCAGAGAATGAGACTTTGGTGCAAGGGCTTGGGAAGGTGGCCATTGACGTAATTCGGGATGGTGACAGTGACGTCGTCATTGGCGTAACTCAAGATGACAATGATGACAGTGACCAGGTCAAGGGTGTAACTCTTGATGGCAATAATAACCGTGGCCTGGTCATTGGTGTGACTGTAGATGACTGTGGTGACTGTGACCCGTATGTTGTGGTGGGTACGGCGGGTACAGAGACAATGTCAAATGCTGGTGGAGCTGCTGGAAGAGGTGTGCAGCAATTGAATGACTTGGACGGTAGATTGTGCAACAACTGTGAAAGTCAAGACCAGGTTCCCGAGGGTGAGGATGTGTCGAGTATTGTTAAGCGTAACTGTGATGTTGAGAGAGATAAGGTGACCGTGTGTGACTCGTGTACGGAGGCGAGGTCTGAGGACATTGGCGGTCCGGACGAGACAAGAAGCTGTCGTGAGCTGATGCTTGCGCACGCAAGTAGTTCCACACGGGTAGATGATACTTCGTCAACCAAAGGGCCAGCAGAAGGAGCATCTCCGGATGCCAAAGCGTATTGTGATAAGGATTCTCGTTCCATAGAGGGACGGGATGGACAAGAATTGTGTTCAGATTTAGAATGGACAGACTGTATTGTTAGTGATGGTAATGATGATGATGAACTGAGCGAGAACTGTGATTCCACCGGAGCTTCTGTCTCACAGAATGGTGTAACTGCTGTGAATAATGCAGCACCTTTTGATCGTCTTTGCACTGCCGGTGTGAGCATCCGTGGCTCGGTTTCTAGGAAGCCGTGTTGTGAATGCATGAGAAGAAGAATGGTAGCCGTGGTCGCTGGAGACTGTAGTGTGGATAGTCTGCGCGTGGCGTGTTCCTGTGGTGTCTACAGTAAGGATGGCTCCTACTTCAGCCCCATGTGGGAGTGGACTTTTCCCAAGCTGGATAGTCCATTCCTCAATGCTCTCGAGCCAGGAGACTACGCAGACGCCATTGAGGCAGCAGCAGAAGGGGTCACCGCAACGACGTCAACAAATGCGCAGCAGAAGTTGGTGTCGCTGCACCAGCAGAGTGTGGGACGCAGCTCCCCAGTGCCGGGGACGGTGAGCAGACCCTCCTCGCCCCTGCCCCTCTCCTCCTCTACGCAGATGTGCAACAACAGTGGAGAGACGACCATCCCGGTGGTCTCCCTGTTTAACCATTCTGTCAACTTTTGGATCATGGAAGTGGACTAACGACCCTGTACATAATATTTCTATTGTCTTAAAGCCCGGTGCAGTACGTCTTGGGAACTGTTCAGTTTTCAACTTTCAGCATGAAAGTACCATATCATTGTCAGAGATTTAAGTACGGACCCCAAGTTTGTCCTCTCATCTCTGACTGGCTACATTTTTGCTGATTAGTGAAAACCAGACAGTTTGTATGAAAGTCTGCACTTTCCATAAGCGTTGTGTTGATGATCTGATAACAAATAATAATTATTTGTTTGTTTGTCT